GCATTTTTTTTTTTTTAAAGGAGGTTGAGGGGCACCAAAATGCATGTTCGCCTGTGTAACTAAAAATCCTAGCACCGGCACTGAGTCCAGGTAAAATGTTGGCTGTAACAGCACATTCAGCATCAAAGCCTTTTTTCCCTTAAGGGTTAATTAAATAGTTTTTCCCCTGACAGTATAAGTAACAGCCAGCCATTAGATTTCAGTCAGTTCGGACACATTGTGCTGTATGAGAATTCCAATCCTTAATGTCAGTGTCCATTACCCATAATACTCCACGGGATTAAACAGGATCCTGCTTGCCCTCATCCATCATGGCGATGCAATGTCTGACGTCACTTCCGCTTTATCAGTGCGGGCCGTGCAGAGCTGGCTGCTGGGAGCTGAGGGTGAGTCCGGGGTTCATTGTGTTTATTGGGTTATTCCTGGATCCAGAGCAATAATAATATCACTAATGAGAGAGAGAGAGAGAGAGAGAGAGAAAGAAGAAGAAGAAGAAGAAGAAGAAAGAAAAAAAAAAAAAAAAAGGAAAGAACATGGGGAGAGAGCGTTATGATTAAAGGGACACTCACTGCAGGTACCCTCTCCCTCCCACCATCTTCCCATGTTGTTGAAGGGGTGAAAACCCCTTCAGTGATTTACCTGAGATCCCCGCAGATGTCCCTCGGGTCCACCTACGCTCCTCACCGTCACGACGTCTGCCAGTGGGTGGAGACCTAATGCGCATGCGCGGCAATGCCATGCGCACGCATTAAACCTCTCCATAGGAACGCATTGAAAATGCTTTCAATGCTTTCCTATGTATAATTGAGCGACAGTGATGGTCCTCACAAAACCGGTGCTAAAAACCAGGAAGTGCCCTCTAGTGGCTGTCTAGTAGACAGACACTAGAGGAGGAGTTAACTCTGCAATGTAATTATTGCAGTTTATGAAAAGCTGCAGAGTTAAGGGTAGTGGGAGTTGGCACCCAGACCACTCCAATGGGCAGAAGTGGTCTGGGTGCCTGGAGTGTCCCTTTAACAGTGTGAATTTGTCTGTATTTCTTTGTATTATACCTAGCTCTATGTATTTCATGGATGTCTGTAAATTGCAGGTTGATATAAGTGTTATTATACAGAGGGACATGTTTATTATCAGCGTATAGATACTCAGTATTATTAAACAGAGCGACATGTTTATTATCCGCATATAGATACTCAGTATTATACAGAGCGACATGTTTATTATCAGTGTATAGATACTCAGTATTATTATACAGAGCGACATATTTATTATCAGCGTATAGATACTCAGTATTATTCTACAGAGCGACATGTTTAAATGAACACAATAGGGTCAGGAACACAAACATGTATTCCTGACTCTATAGTGCTAAACCCAGCTTGCCCACCAAGCCTCCCCCTCCCCCGCTTTAGCCCCATTAAAAGCAATTTAAACTCCCCTTATATTTAGTGGTGTAAGAGTCTGCTGGCACTGACCCCGTCCCCTTGGTGACATCATCAGAATTGCCCATTTTTAGCAAAATTCAGCGTCCCCATGCAGAGCGTGGAGACTGAAACGGCAGCCATCTGAGGAGTGACCATTTATTATTATACAGAGCGGCATGTTTATTGTCAGCGTCGCTATTATTAACAGTATTATTAAGGTGTCTCCCTTGCATGGGCAGAATTGCATAAAAGAGAGTGTCTGTCAATAAATCCTCAGTTCTTCTTGACCCTTCAAAATGTAGCCACGTCTCGTTCTTGAAAGGGGAATCTATGCAGCTTAATCACTTAGCTCTTTTCAGAGCTGTACTTGGCTTCCACTCCTGATCCAGCAGAAGGGAATAGGCGACTCCATCACTACACAGCAACTTGCCG